CCGAAAAAGTCAAAATCTCACTTGGAATCGCACAGTATGTGTATGTTTAAATGTTTTACCTCATAAGATTAACCAAAACAAAAACGCACTCCGCTCATCTTAAGGCCATCCGGGAAAAATCCCTAACCTAAAAGTGTTTTCCCGCGCGAGATATTACTCGTAAATAACTTGAAATATCTTGTTCGGATTTGTCGGATTAATTAGATGAGGGCGAGCTGATTAAGAATCATCTCCATTTTTACAAGTAATTTTGTTGAAAAGTATTGAAAATCGTGGTTATAAAAGTTGGATTTTTGACAGAAGTGGGGACAGTAGGGGAGGCGAGCACACAGACATTGAATCTATGTGTCAGTGGCCCAGAAGGTGGCGCCAATTCTAGCTAGTGGCCGCAGCTGAATTAACTTACCCCAAATTACTCCACTTTAAATCTTTAATAAAATAATTTCCTCACAATATTATTGCAAAAATGGAGAAGAGTGATGAACTTAGTGACCCTTCCTCTATTATTCCTCCAAATGCCAACTCGAAATACTTTATCCTTTAAAGATGAGAAGAAATTTACGAAACCCCTTTTTGACAATGTTTAAACTTTTTTTTTAATAATTATTTATCAAGATTATGCAAAATTCCGAGAAGAGCCCCTGGCAGGGTTCCTTCCTCTATTATTTCCAAAAAATTACAACCTAAAATATTCTATTTTTTTCAAATGAGAAGAAATCTACAAAACCATTATTTTCTCCCGGATGCCCTTAATTTACCAAATAGTATAAACAAATTTATAAAAGTAAGTATCTCTAAAATGTTAACTTCATAATTATTGAATATTAGTTTAAAATTAAATCAAATATTAATTAATGTATATACTGTTTTATAAACTTATTTGTAATCAAATAAAATTAATTTTTATTATTTATTTTATCAACAAAGAAATTTTCAATTTTTACTTTTCTTACAACAGTAAAAATAACATTACTTTTGCTGTATAAATAAGTTCCCCCACAGCACCGAAAATTTCCTGAAAATTTCCTAAAGATTTATTTGCAAACTTCGGAAACTTTAATTGCAAAGTTTAGAGAAAATTGTATAAAGATTTAAATGTCCAAAATGAATAAATGTTTGGCGTAAAACTTGACGGATGATTTAAATTAAATTTTCCAGAAATTTTCGACGCGAAAATTGAGTGAAGATTTAAATTAAAGTTTCGTGAAATGTTTGGCGTAAAACTTGACTAAAAATTTAAATTAAATATTTATTAAAAATTTATACCGAAAGTTGAGTGAAAATGTAATTTAAATATTCAGTCAATTTTTGTGACTAACATTTCCTAAAAATTTAAATTAAATTTTCAGAAAAGGTTGGACGAAAATATTTGTAAAAAATACAAAAATAATATTTAAGAAGTATTAATATTATTATTAATATTAATAATAATAATAGATAGATAGATCTTTATTATTATTATTATTATCAATAAAAAAAATTTACTATCTGGGATTAAAAATAAAATAAATAATATACAAACATTGTTGCTCTGCTTTGATTCACATTGAATCAAGCACTGCATGCTTGTTGAGCAAGAACTTTTGAAAACATATTATGGGGTGCTGGGGATTGAACCTACATTCGCCGCGCGCTAGCTAAAGACCCTAACCACTACACTACAGATAACTGGCTAAAAAAAAAAAATTTTCCACACACTCTACAACTTTATATTATCGACTTTTGAGTCGATAAGTAGGATCACTTGTCTATCAGTTAGTTGTAGAGTGTGTGGAAGAATACTACCTTAATTTACAATTAGTGATTTTAATATTTAGGTTAGAATTAAATTCGAAAATAAAGAAATTATGATAAATAATAATTAGAACACATCTTATTTATAACGAATAAGAAATATGAAAAATGACATTTAGGTTATCTTATAAATCGGATAAATAAAAATTAGAGAACTTTGTATTTCGTAAAGAAACACATTATATTTAATGACAATTAGGCAAATAATAATTTTGATGAAATAGAAATTCGTCAACTTTAAGAGTAGAGTCTATTACAAATTTTGCATTTTTCAATTCTGTCACTAAGACATGTTCTTGTACCAGAACTTGTACAAGATCCTGGACAAGAAAATATACTTGTACAAGAAAATGTACATGTTCTTGTACATATATTTTTGTGCAGGTTTCATGTATATTTTCTTTTACCAGATGTGGAACATGTTCTTGTACATGTTCATTTATGTTTTTTAAATTAAAAATTAAAAACTTTAAAGGTAGCGCAGTAGTTTTCTTAACTTACAGCTGCGCAATAATTTTTAGCATGCATAAGTGAAGAGTTTTAATAATTAAAACTTATTAAAATTTCAAATTTTTTTCAAAAACATTTTTAAACAAATGTTCTTGTACAAGAACATAAACGTGTTCTTGTAAAAGTACTTGTACATGAAACCTGCACAAAAAAATATGTAAAAGAACATGTACATTTTCTTATACAAGTATATTTTCTTGTACAGGATCATGTACAAGTTCTGATAAAAGAACATGTCTCAATTCCGGATTCTGAACTTGTTCAAGAAAATTACGTGAACATGTACAAGAAAATGTACAAGTTCATTGATGAACATGTACAAGAACTTGTACATTTTCTTGTACAAGTTTTTTCAGCCGGGGTCCACTTTTTTCAAAAAATTTTATTTTTCGAAAAAAAACTTAATTAAAACAACTTCTTATCATGTTTGTTAAATTATTTCTATGATCTACACATAATAATACGTGAAATTGTGTAAATTTGAAACCCTTTAGATACAATTTTCTTCGTTTTTGGTGAAAAAATACATTTTTTCCTAAAATTATCATTTTTCTTTAAAAATTTGATAAAAATTGATCATCAACTCCAATCATGCTAACATTTTTTTCCCTGTAATTTTCACGCAAAAATACATTTATACATCAAATATAAACTATTTGGGTTAAATATTGTGTGAGCTAGGGGAATTAAACGCTTTTTTCCGAATTTTTTTATTTTTCCTTGACAACTCTATGTAAACCGATTTGAATTAAGTTCGCTATATTTTTCCTGTAATTTTCACGTAAAAATACATAAGTATACTAAATTTAACCTCTTTATGTCAAAAGTGTGGCTGCTAAGAGGAGGGGGGGGGGAGTTCATAGTAATTTTTCGTAAAAATTCATGGTTTTTCCTTGATAATCAATTCCAATCAGGTTCGCTATATTTTTCCTGTAATATACACGCAAAAATACATATGTGTACCAAATTTCAGCCCTCCAGATAAATTAATGTGTCGTCTAGGGAGGAGGGTAAGAGTTTAAAAAAAACCGATATTAATTTTATTAAGGGGTTACATGAGTAAAAAAAATCGAATTTTTTTTTCATTTTTTATTTGATAGTATAACATGTCAAGAATATTTTCTCAAAGTTTTAAGATAATTTGAATAAAATTCTATAGGGAAGAGAGAATTTTCGAAAACGCTTTTTGTTTCGATCGGCACCTAGTGCAATTGATTTTTAATTATTTAGTCTACTATATTGGATCCGTCTTTTTTAATTTTGGAAAAGTGAAACCAGATTCGTAATCAGCGACCCCAAAAACCCCAGAGTAAAGATTTTTAAACGATTCCGATAAAATAAAAAAGAAAATTCGACGTTTATATCATTTAACTTTGAACGCTGTTTCTCAATACTCCATTTTTGAAGACGGTAGTCACGATTTTTCAAAAACTAATGAACCGATTTTTCTGAAATTTGGCACACTTCTTTTAGATAGTATTGACAAGTGATTGAAGGAAGGATTTTTTTTCTTTTGATTACAACGAACTTTACATGGTGTAAATGGTCCCAGAAAACGTAATTTTTGACACTGACAAAAATTCAAATTTTGATATTTTTAAAAATCCTCCATTCAATCAACAGCTATACTCACCTCCCAGTGGGCATCGGGACGTCTAAAAGACGTCCTAAAGACGTCTTTTTTTGTCTGCGGACATCCTGGGAACTTTGATAATGATGTCTCGAAGACATTCGAGAAGGATGTCTAAAAGGCGTCTTTTGTACGTCTTTAGGACTTAGATATATTTCCTTTAGAATATTTTCTAAGTTTAACACATTAATTATTATCTTATTTAAATTTTGACTTTTTTGTTTTATTTCTAAACGCTTATACAGAAATCAGGAATGAAAAACTTCTCCCGGACCTGGGATCGAACCCACGATACGTTAGGTTGAAACTCTACGCCTTAAGCGTCTGAGCTATCGGAGACTGATAAATTCCTTTACAAAGTTTACGAACTTATTTGTCAATGAAATGAATCGAATTTAAAAAATTTCTATAACATTTATCTTAAACAGTTTCGATGTGATTTTTATATATTATTAATTCTAAAATTATTCTTCGAATTTATTTTGTTCATAATAAAACATGATTATTATCAGGAGAAACCTTTAGGTTATTACTATTGTTTCAAAACAGTGAACTTCGTCTCTGATGAAGGCTGAATTCAATAACTTTATGCTTCGTATCAAATTTTTCAAAAACACACATTTTTAATTTATGTTATCCAAAAATCCACAAAGATGTCCATAATAAATCACAGGGAATCGGAAACTAGAAAAATAAAGCTTTATTTTCACATAAGTTACAAGAAAATTTAAGTGAGGGTGTTTTGAGATATCAAGTGGTTAATATTTAAATACGGTATTTCTTTATAAAATTGTGGGAAATTAAGAAAAATTAAAAAAACCAATCGCAAGGTCGTTAAATTCTCTTTCGAAATAGTGTGTAGCATTATATAAATTATTTCTTTTTTATATAGAAAAATTAACTTAAAAAACGCTCTGCCAATGATTGTCTCTTGAAGGTGAAACGGTATAAAATAGAATGCCGCTCAACCATATTTTAAGCCACGTCCTCAGCGTACATCCCAAAATATATTTGAGAGATCTTAAATAAATGTAATATATTGTTTTTAAATTTATTTTTTATTTAGGTGTAACTGTCATGACATGCCAGCAGAAGTTTCGATGGAAAAAAATGGTGAAATGTCATTACTCGGACAGTCTTGCACAAACTCCGGTGGGCGTTCATGTAGTGGCGAAAACTGTATCATAAGTAGAAATTGGAGTGATCGCACAACCATTTTCAGGTGAATTGAGAAAGTAACGGGTGTTTTCATTAATTTTTTTGATTGATTTTAATTATGATGAGGTTATTTTAAAGAATTTTAATTAATTTATTACCTTTGATCTGAATTTAATTTTAAAGATTATAGATTAAATTTTACCCGATATCTCACTGGCGGATTATCACAAGCAAACTCTCAGCGAATTTTATGAAGTTTCGCTCAAGATTGACTTGAAGCAAAATATTGCATTTAATTGTTGCAATATGATAAAAAAAATGATAAATACTGCAAAATTAGTCAGCATTTACTTCTTAGTTGATTTGGGGAAGCATTATGTTAAAGTAAAATTAATTAATATACACATTGATTAATTACTAATTAAAGTTTAATTTAATATAACTCTTTCAAAAATCAACTCATTCGTTTTTCTGACATTCTTAAATAATAAGAACCCCTCTCAGACTATACATGTCAGGAAGCTCTTCCAACGATGTGATAAAAAAACATTAAAATTGTCCAAAAATTACAATTATAGTAATAACACAGCCCCACAAAAAAAAAAAGTGTCGTGCGCGGCAGACCAGACTAGTCATTTCCCATGTATTTTGACGCGCTGAACACGAATCCGAAGTCCGTTTTGCTCCATCACGTCAGGATTTTTTTCTAACCTCCAAAAACCTGTCGGATTTTGAGAGGTAGGCTATTTTTTTAAAAAATTGATGGATTTACTTCAAAATTGGTATCTAGGGGTTTTTTGGGTCGCTGATGACGAATTTGAAGTTAGATTTTCAAAATTCAAAATGGCGGCTCCAATATGGCGGACGAATTTTGTAAAAGTTGATGGATTTACTTCAAACTTGGTACCTAGGGGTTTTTTGGGTCGCTGATTACGAATCTGAAGTTAGATTTTCAAAACTAGAAATGAAAATTCTTATATACATAAGTAAGGTATTCACGTCTTTTTATGGTAGCGCACTCTTTTGTCCTCAAAGGATTTGTGTAATGGTTTTCTTTTTAAATTGGTGCCTCCAGGTACTTGTTCTTCACTGTAATCTCCCAAATTTTCAGGGAATTAATCCCGATGCGAGTCTAAGTAATGCAACTTTATGCTCATTAAGCATCCTAACTTACCAAAGTTTTTAATCATATCACTAACTATTTGCTCCCAATTTTCACTCTTGTGATTACCCAGAAAATTTTCGACAACTGCTTTAAAACTAAGTTATGCGGCTTTCTCCTTTTTATTCATCTTGGTGATAAATTGCTCATCTTTTAACAATTTGCGAATACGTGGTCCGTCGAAAACCCCTTCTTTTAGTTTCGCATCAGAGATTTCTGGAAACTTTTGTTCCAGGTATTTGAAACAGTTTCCTTTTTTATCTAAGGCTTTGACAAACTGTTTAATTGCTCCTAGTTTCGTGTGTAAGGGCGGAATTATCACCTTTGAAGGGTCGATATCGTCCGCCATATTGGAGCCGCCATTTTAAATTTTGAAAATCTAACTTTAGATTCGTAATCAGCGACCCAAAAAACCCCTAGATACCAAGTTTGAAGTAAATCCATCACTTTTTACAAAATTCGTCCGCCATATTGGAGCCGCCATTTTGAATTTTGAAAATCTAACTTCAAATTCGTCATCAGCGACCCAAAAAACCCCTAGATACCAATTTTGAAGTAAATCCATCAATTTTTTTAAAAAATAGCCTACCTCTCAAAATCCGACAGGTTTTTGGAGGTTAGAAAAAAATCCTGACGTGATGGAGCAAAACGGACTTCGGATTCGTGTTCAGCGCGTCAAAATACATGGGAAATGACTAGTCTGGTCTGCCGCGCACGACACTTTTTTTTTTGTGGGGCTGTGTAATTGTCCTCGTTTTGCTTCCACCTAAAGAATATAAGTAGCTTTGAAGGAATCTGTGACAGGAGCACTCCCACTGGCTACGTTACAACCCTAGTCTGGCTGATACCAGGAAGATGAACCTAGGAACAAGCATTGCGTACACGTCGCGTTGGTTCCCATGTAGTTTAGCATTGGTGACGTCATACGTATACGTTTACGAATGCTCTTATAGCACATTCGGTTATGTGCTCTAAACTGCTCCAAGAGTGCTCCAACTCAGAACCATGTGTTCGGGTTGGCAACTCTGCCCCGGAGCATATCGTGTAGCGTATTCGACTTGACAACACCGCTCCGAGAGCAGGCAGAACACGTGTTCGTGTAACACGCTCCGCTACGTCACAGAGCATTTTGCGTATTCGAGATACAAATCCTGCTCCACGACAGGGCAAAAAACGTATTCGGTTTGTAACATAAATCCACCCCGGAGTCAATCTAGAGCAAGAAATCTTGCTCCATCTTTTTCGACGGAGCGACAGCAATAATTTTTTAAATATCTTACTGCGCATGTCATATTTTGAATTTTAAAATGGAAATTGAAGCAGAAACTTTGACTTTAGCTTTTGAACTTTTAGAAAGTTCTAGTGATGATAGTGATAATGAATTTTTTGAAGTTATGAATGAATTTCTTATAGAAAAAAGGATAGAACAGGCCTCCCAATAAAACCTTTTCCTGTTTACCGATTTAAAAGACTCAAAGCTCCATAAAACAATAAATTTTTTTCTCAAATCAGACTTATTTCTACTCTCTACAACCTTTGGTTACATATGTTCTGAAAATTTATTTTTCACTTTTATTACTCAAGCTGTTCAATTTTACTATTATCAGAAAAAGAGAAAAAAAATTTTTTTTAAATGTATATACACTGAGAGGACAATCTATTTAATTTTAAACGAATCCTTTCATCGTAAACGAATTTTCCTTTTAATATTTATATTTAAGAGGATTTTCTTTTATGATAAAAGGAAAGTTCTTCAAATTATATCTTTTTAATATTATAAGAAATTATTTTACTGTCAAAAAGGAAACATTTTGGAATAAGCTAAAAGTAAATAGGTTATTAATTTTTTATTAATTACTAACATTAGTAACTAATTAATTAATTATTATTGTGTATTAATTTTAAATAAATTAAATTAAATCAATAAAATTAATATAAAAATTTAATTATTATTATTAGTCAATAATTTTTTTAATAAAACTCGAAATTCTCGAAAAATTAAAATTATTACGTCTTTCATAATAATAATAATAATTATTATTTTTCATTGACAATTTTTTATATGCGCTTTTTTATTTAGTTCCTAATAATTTTTTCAAAAAATAAAATTTTTAAAAAAATTTTACTTCGCGCTAAATTGAAAAATCTGCTTTGGAGTACTCCAGTCGCTCGCAAGCAGAGTGCTCTGAAAAAGAATTTATTTTATTACGTCATTTGCCTTTCTGCCATGGAGCAGATCGTTGGCAGATCACTGCTAATGACGTCACACATTGCTTCGTTCTGAAGCAAAGCACTCTGTGGCAAAGTTGCCAATTGCTCTTGCTCCGAGTAAGGGCGCTCTCAGAGCAACATAACCGAATGTGCTATTAGGTTCCTATTGGAGACGCTCCATTCTCCCGAAAGTTGCTACCCTGTAAAAAAAGAATTATTAGCAGTGGCGCAATTCCGTATTAGAAGTAGTGAGGTTGAAATACGGAAAACGAGAATTCACGTATTTGAAGGAATGAGGAATTCGAGAAGTTTAAATACGTGATATTCCCGTGTAGAAATTTAAGTAAGATTCTTGTATCCAGATTTTTCAAAATCCGTTTTTGCGATTAATAATTTCAGGTTATATTATTAAAAATTTTTTGTATTTAATTGTTAAAAGCAAATTGGCGATTTTAATTATTTCACATATATTTTTAAGTTTTTTAATCTACTTAATGCATTATATTATGTATAGTGCTCTATATTTCATATTAAAAAGCATATAATTATAATTAAAATTAAATTGGAATTGATGTTATTAATAAAAGAAAGAATACTATAAAAAATTTTCCTAAATTAAGTTATCAGTTATAACGATAACTTTCCAGATATAAATACAATAATTGCAACATGTTTAGAAACAATCATTTATTTTCAATAACAAATTTAATTAAACCAAACAATATTTAAATTTAATTGAAAATATATTCATTGTTTAATAATAAATTTTTAAATTATGCAAAAGATGTGATTATTATTTAACATTCTTCGTCTTCTTCGTTTTCTCCGTCTTCTCTTTCGCCTGCAATTTCTCCTTTTGCATTTTTATTTTTTAAAATATCTTTTTTTTGGGACTACTACGTCCTCCATCCCAGTCTTTTGCATTTGGGAGAACAGAGCTTAATTCTTTTAATAAAGATTTCTCGGTCACTGCATCTTTATTTTCTTTTCCTTCCTTGTGGGTAGAAGAAATAACAGCTAAAAAGATAAACAATTAAAAAATTATTTTCAATACAAAGAAAATTTTATATTATATATTACAATTTTTCGTACAAAGAAGAAGAGAGAATAGCTCAGTATCTTTGAACAGTTGTTTTCCCTCAGTTTGCTTTGACGTCACAAATTGAAGTGCAACGCTTTTTGACAAAACCTTTCTTAATATGTTAGTAACGCTTTTCCTAACATTAAGCTTCGGGTCAAAATTGATCTTTAAGACTGATGACTAGAACATAATTTTTGGTTGTTATTATTCATAGAATATGTTATTAATTTTTCTGTATTATAAAATATTGCCATTAAAAATCTTACAAATAATAATTGTAAATTTAAACTATTATTTTCAGTAAGAAATTCTTTATTTCTATTAATTATTTATAAGTTTATTTTTACTTACATTTAGATAAAAACAGTACTTACGAATTTCTGCCTAAAATCAGCTTCTTGCAATTTAAGTTCGAAGTCTTTGAACTTTTCCAAATCTGTTAATGGCAGTTCCAAGTTAATTTTTTCATTAAATTGGTACGTTTCAGGAGTTGGTATGCATAATTGCTGATGTAAATAATCTATTTTATTCCCCTGAATCCGCTGCTCTTTCCTGATTTCTTTCACATACACATTCAGACTAGACATTCCATTTATTATGCGATCTAAGGAAAATCCATTTACAAACAGAATTTTAGAAAAATATTAATTTTATTATATCTTAATAATACACATTATATTTATATTTACCAATCTTTGCTTCTATTGAATCATCTGAAAATTCTGTTGTACGCGATGTTGAAGGTAAATATGTCTGCATTAAATCTGAAAATGTGTTCAATATATCTATAGTTCCGTTACATTATGTATAATAGAAAATTAAATTTACCTAATTTGGTGTTATCAACCTTAATTATTTGATTTGCCTAAATATGATTAAACGAATTCAATTTGATATTTCATTGCCAATTTATGAGCTATTTATTTTAAAAATGAAAATTATTATTCTTCAGGTATTATTTTTTGATGTTAATTTTTTTCTATTTCTATAAATTATTTTGCTGTTTTTATTCATAAATTATAGGTCTTACCACAGTTATATTTTCTAGTTTTCGCTGGCTCTCGTGCTCTAATGTTAATTCTTTTATCGCTTTTTAAATGTTCAATATGTCGAATATCTAAAACAATAATAAAATTTTTTTAACAATTATATCTTACTATTTTAAAGTATAAAAATATAAACATAAACAAATGAAATAAATTATAATAAAATATAAATAATAAATATAAACTAAGAACTAAATTATAATTTTTTCAGTTCAAATTGAACGGAAATATTTTTTTAATTAAATTAAAATAAAATGGTATTTTATTTAATACTGAAATAAAAATTAGTATATACTTGGTTTAGAAATTTTTTCGAGGGCAGTTTCTTTCATTGCAATCGGTTTTTTATTCTCTAAATCAATTCCGATTTGATGTTCATCACTTTCAAGTGCTCGAAAAGTATTAGAAGACTGGACTGTAAAAAATTAATTAAAGATAAATAATTATAAAATTATATATGTAAATTGTGAAAAATTCTTATATTTTATGATTTTATTGTAACGAAAAAAATTTAATGTTTTTACTTGAAGATTGTGAAACTTTTTCTTTGCGAATTCGTTTTCGACTATGAATTTGGTGTTGAGGACTATTATTTCTCATTTCAAATTCTTCTTCGTCGCTCATAAGAATGTTATTAGTGAATGGATCTAAATGTATAAATTTTTTAATTATTAATAATTATTTAATTTATCGAAATATATTTCTTTATAAATAAGAAATTAAATCAAATAAGTAAATTAAAAATAGCACCAGGATAAACAGCTTTTTCAGTAAAGATGTTTTCATTGAAATTGACTATTTCAAATTCTTCGTTAGGTGCTGCAAATGCGTCAAAAGGTGCGGCTGTAAACAATATTAAATTTCATGTAAATTATTAAAAATTCCAATAAGAAAAATAAGTATATTTTAAATATGATCTTTTGAGAGACCAGCAGCCGTAATTTGGTCCGAATCATCAATTTGCTGATCCATAGTTGGAACAGATAAAATTTCGATTTTTTCTTCGGGCAATTTACGCTTTTCCTGACGAATTTGACTCTTAATTTCCTCTGCCTTCTCCTGAGGAGTATATTTATCCGCTGTAGAATAAGCATATTCTTCTGTTTGAAGTTTTTTTACTGCTTTTAAAGCCTCTTGGTAGTTTTCTGGGAAGAAATTAACGTTTATTTAATATTAAGTTAATTTTTATGGCTTTAATATATTTTTTATTATTATAACTTTATTTTTTGATATAATTGAAATATTTTTTCATTAATTATTTACTATTATGAAATTAATCTAAAAAATATTTACCAGCGTGTCCTCGTAAACGAATTTGATATTTAGGCCATTCATCTGGTGCTTCTGCTTTCGACTGAATTAATTGCCTCAAAAATTTTCGAGTTTTTGTATTGTAAGGCGGAGGCATAAATTTAACGTAAAGCTCCATTTCATCTTTATCAAAAGAGATCCAACTTTTTGGAGTAAATTCAATTTCCTTGATTTTTTTGTCATCGTTATCAGTATTAACGAATTCGAATATATGATATTCCATCAACTTTTTCTTTTCATCTTTTGATATTGACATAATTATTTAATTGTATATCTAAAAAGATTAAAACAAAAAGATAAATTTATTAATAGTGAAAATAAAAATATGTTTTTTAGAATTCTAAATTTTTATTAAAGAAAGAGTTATCTTAAAAATATTTCAAATAAAAATGCTTGACAAGTAATATTATGTTGCATACATATCATTAGAATTTACAGAAAAGAGGCTAAATGAACTTACCTTATCTAATTATTAGTTAAAAATTGCAAATGAAAACTTAAAACTTTTTAACAAATCGATAAAACTGACACACTTTTTATTTATTTTACCGGAAACATGAACTTTCAATATTAACCAAATAGAAATGACTATTAAACATTTGACAACTGTTCACTATGAACTTGTTATTTATAACTGTAAAAAAATATCAATAACAGACACAACCTGAAATAAAATTTTCCAATTTAAATTCATTTTCAAGAATTTCTTTTGCAATAAATAGTGATCTATGTATTTCTTTAATCAGAAATCACAAATCGGTCCAAGGAAAAAGTAATGACAAGATCAATTTGTCATAATATTTTTTAATTAAAAATTTCAATTTAATTATTTTAAAACAAACCTAAAATGAGCAAAAGAAAATTAGAAACCATCAGGGAACAGACGCGAATGAGAACTAAAAAGTATCGAGAAATGAAAAAAATCAAAGAGGAAATAACAAAAACTATGAAAGATTATAGACCCAGGACGAGCACGGAAGGTATTTATTTTATATAATTAATTATATTATTAAGGGGACTTTCTGGTTTAGAATTGACAAAAAAGGAAGGAAGGAAAACTATTTTTGGACATTGTAGCACATTGCGTAGAGAAAATTTAAAAAATATGTTTGAGTGTATTTAGTTCAATTTCATACTTCAAAAAGATACCTTTTTTTTGGTACGTTAGTTTCCGGGCAACCTGTAATACATAAATTCAAGTTCCAAACGGGAATCTCTTCATAAGGATTTATTCTGGGGCCTAAACCTCAAAAACGATTTTTTTAAAGGTTTTTTTATTTTTTATGTACATTTTTCTCAAAAACTCGCAAAAACGCCGTGTTTTTGGGTCAATTTACCTCCATATAAAAACACAGGGGGTAGAAATATGAGTTTTTAGAGGTTTAGGCCCCAGTTTTTTAAATAAAGAATCGAAAAATTTTTGGGATTTCAAAATCGGTTCTGTAGATTTCGAGAAAAGCTCTGTACCAGTTTGAAAAATGAGTTTTCGAGAAAAACGCGTTCAAAGTTTTCATAACATAGCTCATTGAGTCATGAATATCAAACAACTTTTTATTACAACAGAACTTCGTATCCCGCTGTTTTTAGGGTCGCTGATTACGAATTTGATGTCCGTTTTGGAAAATTCAAAATGGCGGATCCAATATGGCGGACGAAAAAATAAAAAATCAACCGAATTTGCTTAAAACTTGTTACTCGGGGGTTTTTGGGGTCGCTGATTACGAATTTGATGTCAGTTTTTGAAAATACAAAATGGCGGATCTAATATGGCGGACAAAAAAAATAAAAATTGAACCGAATTTGCTTAAAACTTGTTACTCGGGGGTTTTTGTGGTCGCTGATTATGAATTTGATGTCAGTTTTTAAAAATTCAAAATGGCGGATCCAATATGGCGGACTACAAAATAAAAAATTAACTTTTTTAATTAATTAAAACGTTCCTAGAACGTTAATGTTTTGTGCCTATATTCATAACTAGCAATCTCAAAAGGCCACAAGTAATCATTTTCAACTAAATTTAATTAATTTCTTAATCTTTGTCCGCCATATTAGATCCGCCATTTTGTATTTTCAAAAACTGACATCAAATTCGTAATCAGCTACCCCAAAAACCCCCGAGTAACAAGTTTTAAGCAAATCCGATTGAATTTTTATTTTTTCGTCCGCCATATTGGATCCGCCATTTTGTATTTTCAAAAACTGACATCAAATTCGTAATCAGCGACCCCAAAAACCCTCGAGTAACATGTTTCAAGCTAATATCAATAAAAGAGGAACACCAAATATGTAAATAAGATAACTGTAGATTGTTGTTGAAATACATACCGTCATAAATATTGTTATAACTTTTGTTTTTGTACATATTTTTTAAAAAACGTTTTGGGACAGTAATTCTATGATACTATGGAACATTTTTAAGCAAAAAAAAAAATCGATTTTTTTGAAATTCTAAACCAGAAAGTCCCCTTAATATTATATAGTTATATTATTAATGATTATGTTAAATGCTAGTTGCTTTAAATTAATTTTGTAAATTTTCATAAAGATAAAATAAAATTCAAGTCATTTTATTAATTACTCATTTAACATTTAAACAAATGGTACTAAAAAGAATAAATAAAAAAGAACAATATATATATATATATATATATATATATATATATATATATATATATATATATATATATATATATATATATATATATATGTACAAAGCATGATTTGGGGACCCATGTTTTTTCGTGTATATATAGGTTCCTGATGCCCTAAATAGCAAAAGCATTAAAAAATAATTGATATACACTCAAAATTAATAAGTTTAAATCGACAATAAAGTATGCAAAGCATATTTTGAGGACACAAAAATTGTGTATATCGCAATGTTCTCAAATCATGCGTTGTACATGTACGTCTTTTATATGTACAATGCATGTTTTGAGAACCAAATTATATACGCAACGCATGATTTAAGTACCAAAATATAAAACCACCGCATGATTTGAGTACAATTTTAAGAAACCATCTGTCCTCAAAGTATGCGTTACATTAAAAGACATAAATTTGTAAATAGATAATGTCCTCAAATCATGCGTTGCACTTAGACGTCTTTCATATGTACAACGCATGATTTAAGTACAATTTTAAGAATCAATATGTCCTTAAAGTATGCGTTGCACTTAGACGTCTTTCATATGTACAACGCATGATTTAAGTACAATTTTAAGAATCAATATGTCCTTAAAGTATGCGTTACATTTGCGAATATAAAAATTTGAGAATAGATAATGTCCTCAAATCAAACGTTGCACTTATACGTCTTTCATATATACAACGCATGTTTTGAGTATAAGTTATATAAACATTTAACAAGTAAATTTTAATTTTATTTACCAACGCATATTTAGAGCACCATTTTATCAATCAATATGTCCATAAAGTATGTGTTACATTTGAGGACATAAAAATCTGTTAATCGATAATGTCCTCAAATCATACGTTCTATTTGTACATCTTTCATATGTATAACGTATGTTTTGATTATAAGTTATATAAACATTTCATAAGTAAATTTCAACTTTATATACCAAACGCATATTTTGAGTACCATTTTATCAATCAATATGTCCATAAAGTATGTGTTACACTTGCGGACATAAAAATCTGTTAATCGATAATGCCCTCAAAACATACGTTGCTTTGTACATCTTTCATATGTACAATGTATGTTTTGATTATAAGTTATAAACATTTTATAAGTAAATTTCAATTTTATATACCAAACTCATATTTTGAGCACAATTTTATCAAACAATATGTCCTTAAAACGTTTTTAGAACGAACATGGTTTTTTGCCAACTGGGTGCACAATTTTAAGAAAGTTGTTTTAACATAATTCCAAAATCGTTTGCTGAGATAGGTAGGCTCCAGATAGTTGTAAACACTCCTTTTTTATTTTTAGCTATAACGTTTTAAGTATAAAACTTATACAGGTTTTTACTATTTTTAAAACTGTTTTTTGGGGAAAAACTAAAAAATAGGGGTCAATTTTTTTCGATGGATTACTTGTATGCACAGTTTTAGAGAAATTGACTTCTAACGCTTTTATAAAGTTAGTTGTAAATATCCATGACAGGAAAAAATAATTTGCCCGAAAATCGAAGAAATTCTAAACGAATTTCATGTTAATTTTACATGAGAAAGTGATAGTAAATCTTGGTTTTAGTGCAATAGATATTTTCCAATACATAACGTCTTCAAGGCAATAGTTAAAACACAACTAAAACGTGTTCGCGTGCCGTGCAATGCAGCTCAGAAAATATTTCACCTATTTTCATGAAACTAACAAGAAATCT